AGATTATAGGTTAAAGGGTTAAGAACGCCTTGCCCAGTGTGTCAAAAATTGATGTTAAAAAAAACAAAAGTATTTCTTTATTTGTTATAAACAATTCATCATTATTTGTTATTATTTATTTATTTTCTTAAAATTGTCAGTCGTCGAAAGTAGCTGTAAATCGAAACTTACAGCACAAAATACGAGATATCTCGTAGCTAAAGTATTCGATATTCATAAAATTATTGCGTTGTTGAGTACAATTACGCTTTGAGTTTACGAAGTCGTATTATACAAATCGATACAGACATCATCTATGACAGTTGATTGATAAGGTAACAATGAATGCAGAGAACATCATCGATGAATCACATTAAACGTTCGCACATTAGACATATATTATTTTCATAATTTCCTATAAGAAGAAAGGATATGCAGTACTGTTTGAACAATTTTATACCCTCTTCTTTTGCTAAATTTTTGACACTGTTAGAAATAATAGTTTCCAATTTTTTCTACAAAGTATTCAGTACTCAAGTAATTAAGAATTGCGAAATATTGATATTAAATAGAATTATGCAAAAATGATTTTAAATAAAAGAATGTTGTATATTTATTTAGTTATACTTACACTATGTCCACAGTTGAAAGTAACAAACAAATGTGTCTTAAAATACAGAAGATATAGATTCACAGAATCATTAATATTTTCTATTTGGACATTAATAAATTTGTACGTACAATATTTCTAAAAGCATTCAAAATCAACCGTACATCTTATAAACTATTAATTAACCAAAAGTATATAATTCCATTTAAAAACGAAACTCAACCGTCATATTTTTTAAATTAATAACCAGAAAAAGATGTAACTTTAATTAAACATATTTTTTGTACTTCCAATGCTTTAAAAGGTATTCTTTTCAGTTTTAGCCTTCAGAATTTTTTTTTAACGCTAAAACTACCGTACAGTTCAAAGTAACCAGTGTAAAAATGTCTATTTTACGATTATTAAAATTATGAACATGCTTTTGCGAGAAATCGCAAAATAAATTCATGAGGCGCGTCTTACGGTCCAATGTAATAAAAACAATAACGTGGATCATCATTGGTTCACGCTGTGTAAATGGAGAATTACATGAATTTAGCGCGACATTCAATGTAACGGTTTGTACAGGAATCACATGCAATGACGGAAACGTACATACAGTTTCAGACTCGGAATAATTAATGCGGGTCTTATTCGTCAGATAATAAACCATATTTCTGATTTGCTATTACTGAAGGAGATATTAGTAAGTTAAGTGCTTGTGTTTACGACTCTAGGAAAAACCACCTAAGTAGATATACCGGATGAGAATTTTCTTGTACAGTCATATGCTTTTTGTTTATACACTAATGCACAGCTCGAAAGTATATTTCTGTAGATTCAAATTTTACATTGGTAATATTCATTTGTATATGTTCAAATAAACGAGGCTAAAATCCAATTGAAGACATTGCATGAGAATTATGAACGTAAAAAAAGGGAATTCTCAAATTGCCAGAGTTGAGAATTAAAATGCATTTGCTGGAACGTTGGTATTCAATTTTTTATTTTAGAATTACAAACCGACGTAAAAGTAAAGATTGGTAGCAATTTTGTTAAATTTTCATGAGCATACAACAAATTGTAAAGGGAACTATATAAATGGATATCCAGTTACCTGATTGCTACCATATGCATTAACTATTTGTCCTATTATATAAAATAGGATAAAAAATTTCCAATTCACCTATATCCATCTTTATGTCAGAACGCACCAATTAAATAATATTAATTAATTTTCTATTGGAAAACAATATTTAAGTTGAAGCCGCAATAATTGAGTGACATTTAATTTTTGTAACTTCCGTTCGAGAACTTCCCCACGAGTCCGACTCGGTATTGCATGGCAAGGGATTAATAATACCTGTATACGAAATATGTGGTTCTAATGCAAATTGGAGACATGCTAATATCAGTTTCGAAACTCTCGTGCTGCTAACACTAGTATCAAAGACAGTGTACACTCAAGGAGACCTGTCACGTTTAACGACAACGCTTTAAAGTTGTTACTAGAAGTAAATCCTCCCAAAAAGGATGCAAAGTAGCCGTATAAATCATTCTAAGTATCTTCTGAGGCTATGAAAAATGGGAAAATTAAGAGTAAGGGTGTCACGCGAGTTATAGTAAACGTAAAATCATAGTTTACGACTTAATATAAACAGTTCTACATTCCTGACTGGGTCGGCACGACGAGGAGCACATCTGTTATGTTATAGAAACCCATAAGTTCAGTGTCGTTAGCTTTAGACAATAGATCCAAGTGTTACTTACCGATTTTTTATAAGTTAAAGTATCCGTGTAAGCACCAGAATTCTGACACGACGATATGCTAGTACCACCAGCATGACCTGTGTGCAGTTGATTGTCGGTATTCATAAAAGTGTACCGTTTCGTTTGCTCGGCCATTTCGCCGTGCTGTTTCGACGTACCCTCCATCAGATCTCGTTCGGGATCCGGGTTCTGGGTAGACGGTAGATGTGTTCCATCGCCTGATAAAGATTAAAAGACAGTATGATTATAATTTTGTTCGATCCAGTACGTTACGAATTACTATGATCAGCCACTTCAATTAACCTTTCTATTAAGTGAAAATTATTTTTGTAACAACGTCATTTCGACGGGATTAGCACACACGCGCTACCCTTATAATGTTAATTCATCCTGCCGAATATCCCACAGGACAAACTGCAGGGAAAACAAGAAATTAAATGAGAATAAAATAGAAGTTTATGAAATGCGTGATATAAATTATAACACAATTAATACATTGTGCTTAGTTACTTACTGAATATAAACTTATTTCAAGCGTTCATTATTAGTTTTATTTGTCTAATTAAAGTCATATTTGAATATGATATTTAAGTTAACTTATGATATTTAAGTTTCCTCGCGAAAAATATTTATTGAAGTGGTCAGTTTTTATTCAATCCCTGTCTTCATCGATCAATCATTAACCCCTTCTCTTATAATATCGAGTCAGACTTTCCAGACTTTTGGGACACAAAATTTTCAATCGAATTCGACAAATCTAAATGTCATTTATTTATTTTTCATATAAACAAAATACCACGTACCTATTGTTGATTTTTAACCTTTAGAGTAAACGTAGACATAGAATAAGCATCGTTCTCTTTTTCTACTAAACTATTAACGATAAAGTAGTTCTGTCAAGAACGGTGTGAAAGAAATTATAGGACAAGGGGTTAAGAGCGCTGGAAGTTTCTTAATTAATATAAAATGAAAGGCTCACCGTCGGGCTCTGGACTGGCAACTGGAGATATGTCTGGAGTATGAATGATAGGCGTGTAAGGACTCCCATACAAAGAATTGTTCTCCGATTTGTACTCCTGAATACCTTGTTGTTGTTGCTGGTGATATAGAGATGAGATCGGGGAATGGCCACCCCATGGGATCTGAGGAATGCCTTGGTAATTGTCCATTTTGGACCTTGAACAAATATTAACTCACACTTAGCAATGTTTGTAAAACAACATTATTCTAATCACACATTTGCTAGACTATCATTTTGTACTTTTTTCTGAAGCAAATTGAAATGTTTTCGTGTAAGTACGTTTGAATACAGATGCACCGCATATAATAATACAATATTCTGGAAGTTGTGTACTCTTTATCTATCTTAGCACTTAACCAACTGAACGAGGTCTCCCACTTTTTCCTTAGTAACGAATTGCCATTTATCTTGTTTATTTTTTTCTTGTGTTATTTACTTAGTACTGAACTGATAATATTCGCTATTCAGTAAATACCATTCTTGCTATTGTAAAATTCTCAATTAAAGTTAATGAAAAAGGTTATAGTTATAATTTCTTTTAAGCGGTTGGCTAAGTATTAAAATAGAAGTAGAAACACGCCATTCCGTTTGGAAAACATCAATAACCTTAAAATTTCGAAAAATATGACCGCGAGCAATAAGTCCTTTTAATCATAATGTTTGCTCTAATCGGGTAACGACAGTTTACTTTAAAAATGATGTCACGTCATCGAACACATTGGAAATATTTTAAGTTCGGTTGTAGATGACTTACCCTATGTATAAACTGCTCAACTACGTGTAGTATATATTTTAAGGAGTAATTCTACGAGCCGAAACAGGACAAAAATTAAAACTGACGGAACTGCGGTTGCGGCTTCTGTTTTAAATTATTAGCAATTAAAATTCGACAATAGCAACGTGTGAGTCAGGTTCCTGGTGTCTCTCGGACTTTACGTCACTGTCAGCGTTCAAAGTGAGTTGTTTCTTTCTAGTAAGCTGTCTGACGCGTACCACTATTGATACGTTGTCGTCATTTGAAAACGAAACCGAAATCACTGTTCTGTCACTACTGATTCTCGTCTCATTCTGATTCGCATTATCAACTCTTAAAATATTTACAACATACCAGCTTAGATTATTCTGCTGCTAGCGGTTCGATCGAAAATTTTTAAGCTATAATAACACAATTCAAGATGAGTTTTAAGATGGTTGTAATATTTGTTATCACTATTATTATTGTGACATGCATTCCACAATTTTTTCAATTTTATGGTTGAAAATCTTGGTTGCGAAAATATTAAAAATTCTAAAAAGTTCAAAGACATTAAGATTTTGCACTGAAACTTAAAAATGATGTAATTCTTTATATTCTCACAATAGTTTATACTAATTTACACTGTAAAAAGTAATATGCGAATAATATACGCTAATTTATGTTCTTACAAATGTATATTACATCCTGAAATATCTCTCGCGTTTCTAAGGACATGGTTAGTGCAATGGTTGACACTTTTGACCCCCTTATGCGGCTATAACCTTTGAATGACTAGTATACAGGGCAGACCACATAAATGGGACTATAACTTTGCATGTTCCCGTAAATAGCTTCGATATTTATGGGTATATGAAGAATTTGTTTTACTTCTAATGTATAATTGTACACGATGGGCCACGTGAAAGGCATTGACTAATAGCGAACTATATCTTCGTGCACTCATAAACACCGGAAATATAGTTATTCACAAAAGTATCTACCTACCCACTTCTACAGTGTATTTTACGTATTTAACGAATGTTAAAATTGGAATTACTTCGTATAATTTACATTGTCATAAACGTTCATTCGTATAATTTAACTCGTACCCGTCCTCTCTGGCAATTTGGCACATTTTTCCACTAAAATATTCTGTTATTTTGTTATTTATTTAAAAACCTGAGATTTTGTAACTTTTATATTTTTATAATATAATTATTTAGATACTTTTATGATTATGTGTAATATATATATAAATATTATTTATATAATAATATTATTATTATTGGTTACTGGTAAAACATACCACCAAAGAGGTAAGACGTCATAAAAACAATATTTCCGAAAACAAATAGCTTGATGTGTGAATTACCATGGGAATCACCTCATTGGTAATAAAAAGCAATCATATTAATAATTGGACATGAATAAGAATCCGTCATTGAATGCGTAATCCGTCATTAAATAAGCAAACAAATTTTATTTTTGTCTCATTTCATCATTTTGTCAATTCGACGCACAAAGAAATTATTAAGTTGCAAAACTGAGGGTTAAATTAGAATATTTATAATTAAACAATTATATTCAGTTTATTAAAGAAAAAGTATCACCCGATTTGATAAAATAACTTATTCGTGCGAATGAATGGACACTTTTGTGAGTAACTGTATTTACGTGACCCCATTTGAATAGTTCACCATACATAAGTATGTATCGTAACATGTGTCATAAAATGAAAATCGAAGTAAAGTCGTATCCGGCTGTTTTTTTTCCTTTCAGCTTTTTTTTATTCATTGATCTTTGTTCAATGCCGAGTCACTTTTGACCAGAGACCGAATAATACTAGTAACTGATATATATTAAAGATATATGTCGAACTTTTAACTTCTACATTACTTTTTTCTATATAGTGTTGAACAGATATTTCAAACAGAAGTTACAGATCAACAGATCTTTTTAATTGACATTATTTAAGGAATTGAAAGCAACTTTAACTTCAAATGTACCCCAACTTTTCCAAGAAATCTGCTTATCACAATATTAATGTTTTCAGAATAGAAATAAAAAATATAAATTTTGTCTCCATTGAGGATTCGTTTAGGTATATTGTCCATTTACTGACGTTAGCTCGCCTGGAAAAAATTTACTGCAAAAAGTTCTACCATCGATTACATCTTTACTATCTCATTTGGAAACAACAGGCAATTATCTGCGGTTCACTGTAAGCAAACACACCGCCAACCTTTTTATTGTATGACGAATGTCCCGTCCTAAATCGTATCCTTCTAATAATTGAAACGTTTGCCGGAAGAACGAGACAACTCCATTTTCAAATTATTTTAGTAAACCAAAGAATATCAATTGAAAATCGGGTACTGCTTCAAATGTTCTGTAAGTTTATGGTCAACTAATGTTTGTGTTAATAAACTTATACACTGAGCATAAAACCTATATCTTTCTTATTATTCCAATAAATATAATTTCAATATTGAAGCTAGAATCTTTTTGTGCTAAGCTTGAAAAAAATGAAGTAAATGTCAACTGAAGAAACAAAATTTAAAATGAGACTATGTAACAAGAATAAATAAATAAAAATAATACATATGAAACATATTATTACGTAACATAAATATAATATTAATATATATAATTTACCAATAATAATAACAAATTACCTAAACCTAATTTCCCTTCATGCCACATAAAAGATCACATCTTCAACCCCTTGCCCTACTTCTTCCACGACCGTGCTCGATAATGTTACTCTCATTAATAATTTATCAAACGAAAGAAAGAAATTTGATATTCAATGTACAATTATGTAATATACACTTTACGATATATAAACATTCACCTAACATTTAATTCACATTAAACAAAAGTAACACTTAGATTTACCAAATACAGTTCAAAACGTCCATCGCTTACACGATGTAACAGAACAAGGGATTAACATTGAAATTACATAACGAAAATACACATCAAAAATGGAGCTGTCCACTTCTCGCAGCGAGCCCTTCGATTCGGTTCGCGAGTGGCAACCGTAACAAATTAACCGCAACCGTCATCGCATTTACAAGGTAGCCCCGCAAAATCTACATCGTACGAAATTAATCTGGATACCACGCTGGCCTGGCCCGCGCCGTGCACCTTGTGCCCGGCGATTAATTCGCCGGTCGTGGCCGGATGATCTTGAAAAATCGACACGAAGCGGCTGAGAGGAATATCGACTTACATGGAATGATGAATCGTGGTACCGGCAGGGTTGGACCTATTGCCCGCGGTGTTGGTCGCGGACGGCGGCGAGGACGGTGCCCCTGGGGCCCGTTTCGCGTGTTTCCTGCGCCGCGGCCTGTACTTGTAGTTCGGATGTTCCTGCATGTGTATGACCCTCAGCCTCTCGGCTTCCTCGACGTACGGCCTTCTGTCCTGCGGGGTCAACCCTCGCCATTTCTTTCCTGAAATACACCCGACCTGTCCGTTAGCGGCCGAACGTTTTGCTATTTTTCAGTGGGCACAGTGGGAAGATATCGATGTTTCTGCAGCCAAAAATCAGTTCTTCGGATTTCTTGGAGAAATGAAATGATTTGTTGAATTAAGAACGAAGTGACTGTTAATCATGAACGTAATAAGTTTCTTAAGAAGTAACGAGTATATGAAAATAAGTAATAATAAATGTTGAGAGTAAATCGTATGATTATGCAGTTCAACTAGCTGGTGATAGCAATAGTTTTGTATAATTATTATTGATTATTATTATGTAAATAGTATAAATACATAAGATAATTATTAGCTTTTTGTGGAGTTACCAAAGAACATTTTGTTATTCCTAGAAGATCAGTTCGTCTGCGTTTGTTCAAACTTACTGGTTAACTCTTTAGATCCTAAATGAACAAATATTTTTGATCATGGAACCTGAAGGGTTAACCAGTAAGTTTGAATAATCGTAGATGAGCTGATCTGCTAGTAATAACGAAATGTTTTTCGGTAACTCCACAAAAATATGATGATTGTCTTAGATACCTTTAGATGATAATAAGTAATAATAATTTAGGATTGTTACCACCAGTTAATTAAATTACATAATTATATGATTTACCATCAATATTTACTATTACTTGTACTCGTGTATTTATTATTTTTTAAGAAACTTATTATGTTTATTATTAGCAGATATTTCGTTTTTAATTCAACGAATCTTTTCATTTCTTCAAGAAATCCGAAAAATTAATTTTTGGCAACAGAGACATCGATATCTTCCCACTGTGTGCCGTTGCGTTACCGCGATAGTAGCGGTAAATGGTCGCAGCGTGTTCGTGCTTACCGGTGTTCCTGAATTCAGGGGGCAGCGTGAAAGACAAGAAAGATTAGATGAGTAACGGGAGATCTTCGAAGCTTATCGATAGGCGAAGAATTCGAGAAATTCCAGGGAAATGTGTACGAAAAGATGGAAAATTGCATTTGGCGACATTTTTGTCGGTGTTTTATAGATTTTATTATTTAACATGAGCTAAATGCGAATACTTGGTAAAATGAGTCTCAACAAGTTTAAAACATGACAGTCTACAACCATTTTCTAAGAACTTTTTGAACACTCCTCGTGTAAGATTACATATGAAAATATTGCAATATTCTTATACCTTAGTTTAATCCTTTTCAACCCTTGGCACACCGAACTAAAATAATTTCTATTCTTCACCAAGTGGGATTTTATTGTTACTTCATTTTGTTTTATATTTTTTTCTTATTTTCACATGTTTAATTAAGTTAATGACAGTTACAAAAATAGTTGTGTGTCTTGTAAAAAGAGTACGCTGCAGCAATTAATAATAAAGAAAATCATACATTGCCACTCCTGAGTGATTCTACATCGTTTGTGAAGAATTAACACTGAAATTGGCATGCTAATTGAAATTACTGCCTTTAATTTTCTTGCGACTACTAGCACCATAAAAGCGTTAAATATTTAAAATGATATAAGAAATCGTTACTTACACGGTATAACCAATATTGGTAAAAACATGAAAAAATGTATCTACATTCATAATTATTATAAGAAGTACATACCAATAATATTAAATACTCGGTAATTCTAGCGTTAAATTATTTGTGTCCGATATATTTAAATTTCTGCTTGCAATTTTAAACGACAAATGCGGCCGTAGCCCGGGATATTTCACGGAAAATAGTTTTACCGTTATGATCGCAGGTCGGGATATTCTGATGTATTAGAATAATGTATGATACGAAATAATACCTATTATTAGATTACGATAACACGTTTAATAAAATTTATAGGCTTTCAGGCAATAATTGATTGAGTCTATGCTCCTTGATGCGTGAAAGATGGTTATTGGTAACATTAACCCTGATATTAAAATGGTAGTATATACAATGTATGCACACAGTTATGGACTACTGATTTGAACTGTTTGTCTGAGAACTGGGGGCTGATCGACTTTCACATAGTGTAACGTAGATACCAACTTTTACAGGACCAATAGGAAAGAATTAAGCCTCTGCAATGCATTAAGTCGGCCAAAAAGTCTCGTCGTACTTTCAAATAAGCTTTAAAGAGAAGTTTCACCTTGTTAAGTTAAACTTCGCCGAATTACACATTGGCCATTTTATTTGGGAACTGTTTTTATTACTTCCTTTTAGTTTATTTATTTTAAATATTGATTCGTACAATAAAATATAAACGCTATTATCTGACTACAGTCACGACAAAGTTCAAAGCAAATTTCTTAATAAAAGAAATTCTTGCTGCGAAGATTCCGACGGAATGAAGTAGTAAACTTTATTTCATTGTTATAGCTAGGTGATTATTTAATAAATTATACCAGAAGATATAAATATTTTGAAATAGATAAATTTCATGTTAACCAATTCGGAGAGACACAAAAGACAATATCAAACGAAACAGCTGTTATCGATTCATGAAACAAACAATTCTTGAGTTTTTAACGAATAAAATAATACTTTTATTGAATACACAAAACGCAAATAGCACAAACCACTTCACATATAAACGAAGAATATAACTCAATAACAAAATCGTTACCCGAACAGTAAACAAAACGCGATATGTCAAATACGCCGATATATAAGCCAACAAATGGATTAACTCCGCAAAACAAACAGTAGAGAAAAATGATGCAATAGTTGATGATGCAAAATGATGCAATACATAGATTTTTAAAATTCCCCTTTAACACGTTCCGCGCGGGACCATTTTGTTAAGACTTTCCGTTCAGGCCGTGTGGGGCGTATACGACCCTCACTTTTATAATCAATTAAAATTAAATAAACGCAGTATTCATGATATTAAAATACCTGTCTTCGACTCTACACTAAATTTTGAAAAAGTTCTTCGTTTTTCAATGAGAATTCATTTTCGGTCTGAACGGAAAATTCAGCGTGAATCATATACTCCCCACGCGGCACGGAACGTGTTAAACAGAGAATTAAATAACTACTATGGAAAGTATTTTTCATGGTGCCCCGTACGCGGCATCCAAAATCCTAAACCCGATAACCCATCGTTTCCTAGTGTCCATTGTTGCACGCGTAAACGGATGCGAGACGCGGAGGAAGTATCGCGAGCGTTATTTCGCGGATCGATAGAAAAGCTGCAATCCGGCCGAGCGATTGGCCATCGATGTTCTTAATTCATCCTACGAGACTGGCCCCTAATTGCCCCTCGGTGCTCGCCGAGGAAGCGGAAAAATGGTCGGGGGAGCGCAGTAGATACGAATTACAGGAGGGCTTGGCCGGCCGGAGACGACGATGGAATCTGCCTCAGTTGCGTTCAATATGCCAGTATGGTAGGCCAGAATATCATTAAGCAAGGATAAGGGTTAATACGAACGTAAGCTGTTCACGACAAGAACGAAAAACTTGAGCGAGGCGGATGTATATGGTGTGCCGTACATATGTACACGGGATCGGCGTACATACAACACTATACACAGGGTCCCGTATAGGTACATAGGTGCATGGGGGCGTAGATATGGGTGCGCCCGTGCCTTTAGCCAGCCACAAGGCACGAACCATTATTTCATATTTCATTTTGTATATTTCAACTCTGGAGGAGACGCTAACCCGAAGGACTCCGCCGGAAGGGGAGGAAGAAAATAAGAGGAAACGAAACGGGTGGAGAGGAAAGGTGAAAAAAAGAACGGCAAGAAAAAAGAGGAAGGTCCTCTCGGTCCTCTATCTTCCCTGGAACTTCATTTTTATCGCGTAAAGTCGCTTGTTTCCCTTGCGTGTTGTTGTTGGACCGTTTTTGCACTCGTTTAGGGTTATTAGGTTTGGTAGAGGGTTGTGGGAGATTGGAGAAGGATCGAATGAATCGAAATGATCCATTGGAGATTTGTTGAAAACGTTGGTAAAGAGGGTTTTACTTAAGGATGACGTTTCGAGAAGAAATGTTTCGAAGGTGGTTGGATGTTATTGGATTTTGGAGAGGTTAGATGAAACTGCATTTGTGATATGGAAGAATAAAATGTGTTTTATTAAACGATTATTAAATGAGAGTAAATTGAGAGAAATGGTATGGTAAGGTGGAGGTTATTTTTAGGTTGAATAGGACGATTGCCGGGTAATCCACGAAAATAAGTAGAAATATTCGAAAATAAGATTATTTCAGAATATTTAAAAATAAGAGAATTGGAATATTCTATTCTGGTTAAAATTAAGAGAGAGGATTAAATCATTTTTTGTTTGGCAAATTAATAAGAATCGTCGTTGAATCAGTTTAAAAATACTTCTTACACTTTACAACGTTCCTTAGAGATTATTACAAAAGGTATGTTTACTTAATGTTTACAATTTTGTTTGTTCCTGGTACTGCTGGATGAACATAAGTAAGGTAACAGCAAGCTAATTAATTTTTAATTGCTATTTACTAAAGAACTCAATTAAATATTCAACGATACGACATTTTACTATTGACACATGAATATATCAGCTTTAGAAATTAATTCGGTGTTTCCTAATTTAATCAATCATCAAACAATTTACAATGTAAACGTTTTCCAGCTATTCTGCAATCTTCGATCTGCTTCAAACATAGAACAAAACCGTCGAAAGTAATGGCGAACATTTCGAGGATTAAAATAGGCGGTAAACTTATTTTGGAAAGCTACCAAATGAAATTTCGTTCGTAAATTAATGGCACATTCTGTCAATCGCATTTCAGCACGTTTTATATCTACTCTTTCGATCAGCGCTACATTGACTCTACTCTATCGCTTATATAACGAGCATTTCACCTCGCTAGTTGAGAGATAATATACTCTTAGTAATTAAAGAAAAAGTTGGGTTATACAAAAAAAATGGTAATGTCTGTTTCAAGGAACTAGCCTTGTTTCTCTAGACAATGACTCCTACGAGTAATAAACAGAGGTTTGCAATGAAATTCCAACAGGCAATAAAAAACTAATGCTTCAACAAA